CCTGCTGAAGATTGTTAAAGTTGAACATGCAGAAATGCCAGAAGCCAGAAACGTAGTGACTGTCCTTGAGGAATTCATGAGAGAAACATCAGTGGCTTAAAATTATCTTAATTATTCTATACTCATTTGAGAGTATTGTATAAATAATTATTTTCTTCTGTGCAGCGTAGTTTCACTATTGCAGGATTTTAAATCTATATTTAAAAGTACCACCGAAGTCAAACTTAAGTTGCAGTTTCACCTGCCTTTTCTCTTTTATAGATAAAGCAATATGAGCCTTTTTTAATGTGTCAGTATCAGGTGATACAAACTCCTGCGTAGTTTTGAGTGCTTACCAGATTCTCCAAGTGGCTTGCTCCTCTTCTGAGGAAATCATGACATTTGTTTTTTAGTCATTGCACAAAAAAACCCTGACCCAAATCCCTTACCTGGCAAGCATTTCAGTGTTTTAAATATTTTAAGTCTTTTTAAAATTATCATGTCTAATCATTAAGATCTGGTTACTTTTGTTTTACTATATAAAGAAGCATAAACATCTGGATAAATCATGGTAAATGAATTAATCAGATTTGTTTATATAAGAGAACATAGTTAACAAATCTCCAGCTAGTTTCCACATTCTACCTTCAAACTGGCAGTTTACTCTCTTGTTACTAGTTAAACAGCTTGTTAATTGGTGCAAAAGAGAACTGCCTTCGGACTGATTAGAGTTTTAGGCATCAGTTTGTGTGTGCTTGCATGTGCGCACACATACACTGGGCAGACGCATTGAATTCCCGGGCTGTTTGATGAATCCTGTTTGTCATTAGTTTGCGTTGTGATCAAGACCTTCTTTGCATGTTCTCAGTAGCCATTTTGCGTAACTGTAAATAATCATATGTTTTTCAACTGTGGAGAATTAAACCTGAAAATTTTACCGGTTAAATACTAACTTTAATAGAAACTTCTTCAGAAATTAAAGGAAAAAAGTTCCCAAGTTAATTATTCAGACTTCAAAACATTTCATTGTATTTCAGCAATGAATTCTTACCCACATCACAGGGCATTTAGGTAGCAGAATACTTGAAGCAAATCTTTGGCTAGAGCTGGAATCAAAACTCACGAGGCCTCTGAGGAGCCGTGTAAACAAGGACTATTTCTGCAAACCTGATATAAACAACACTTCCTGTGGCTTTCCTTTGCAGCAGAGGGGGATTGAACGCCTGATGTCAGGCATTTGAACAACTCTCCCTGAAACTAATGTCCTACTAATGCTGTTAAGTTTGACTTTGTTCTGCCAGTGCTGTGTAGTGTGATGATAAAAGCTGAATGCCTTCCTGTGTCACCACTGTGTTGAACCTGTAATAAGGTTTACAGTAAAATACATTCAAATCCTTCATAGTGTGCCTACATTAAATTACAAATGAGCGTTGTCTGTGATGTCTCCTGTTAAAACCCCTTTATTCACACAGCACAGAGGAGCTGTCTGCAAGTGCCATATTGACAGCCGAGGTGACATGTAACGTATGGGCAGGTCAGAGGAGAAAATAAAAGTAGTTTGGAAGAAAACAAATCTCTTATTCTCTTATTTGCAGGAGCTCTGAGAGGTGACCCTGTTTTCCTTCAGAATATGTTATTCACGAGTGAGTAAAGCAGCGCCACTCAATAAAGCATGTCATTTTCTGTTGCTCTTGTACATTTTTAAATATGTTGGAGCACTGATCGTTTAGTATTTTGCCTGATGAGGCAGGGCAGAGCTCAGAGCTACAAGGAAAAAAAGACGTTGGATGTGTAGAACAGGTAGCTGTGATCTGGTGGGAGCGTAAGAAATCGTTGCACTTGTCCTGCTCCTTGTGCCTGCAGCCAGGTGGAGAGTCGGGACCAAGTTACAAAGAGCAGTTCAGTCCCAGGCGCAGCAATGCTGGTGGTGGTGATAAACTTTTCCTGAAGCACAACCACAATTGCTTTGCTCAGTCTTCATCCCTGGAAGTTTTCAAGAACACACTGGCTGAAGTGCTGAAGAACCTGCATCACCTCTCAGCTGGTTAGCCTGCGACCTGTACTACACTCATTTAAATAAGATTTTTGGTTTGTTTGCTAGGTAAATTATCACAAATGAATCTTCAAAATCCAGATATTTTTAATCTTAACTGCAAAACTTCACTTCGCCCTGTTGGGGCCTCTCCTCTCCAAGCTAATGCATCATTCAGCATCGCTCCCCCTGAATCTGTTACCTGTGGACAGCTTCAGTCACAGCTTTTTCTGTTGCAAGTTCCTTTTCCTGGATTTTCCCAGCGCTGAAGGAGACTGGCATTATGAAAAACACAACCTCCTGCTTTCTGCAGCCTTTGTTGTAACAACATCTCTGCTTCTGCCAGCGTTGAGGTGACTTTGCCATTCAGTTACCCAACTATTAAAGATGCTCACAAGCACACATGCACATGCATTGAAATACACCCTGGTAGTTCATTAATTTGCAGGTTTTACTGGCATCTCTTGTTATAAATTCTATTTTAAAAAACCAAAACTAAAGGAAATTATACAAAGGCATAATAAATAATGCAGAAGCATCTGGTTTAGCTGCATGAATGCCTGGAGAGTATTACACACAACTTCCTCCAGCAATCAGCTATTCAAAGCTCAGGAGGAAACACACAAAAGGTCAGAAGATGCTGAGATGTGCACTCAATTTGCAAACCTGAAAGATTTTTACTGTAGGGTCTGATTTTAAACTCTTTGGGGGAGAGAGAACTCACCAAAACAAACAAATGTACCAACAAATTCCCCAAAACACAGAAACCCAAAACCAACCAAACACAAAATCCTATGTTAAAAGTGCAAGTTTAGATTCCACTGCTACAGACCTCTTGCAGTTTGAAAGATCAGGGTCTGCTTTGGTTTTTGGTGCTTCCCCCCTCTTTACCCCTGGGAGAAATAGCATATAAACCAATTAGTATTTCTCTTTCCAACACTTATGAGTAATGCTTACTACACAGAACGTGATTGGAGCTATAGGAATAAAATGATAATGAATTTTACGAGTTTGTGTGATCAAGGCTGAGGATCAAGACTGCCAGCTTTTGGCTCCTTCTCTGCGACAGATATGCTGGAATTGACAATATTTCTGTCCTTCAGTTTGTTTGCCTTTCTAAAATTATTTTAGCCAGCAAGAAAAAGGCATGGTGCTAGCAGACAGTAACAGTTCCTCTATTAATGGACAAAACCCACCTTACCTTCTTGCTGGAAGTCCTCAGCTAAAGATTCAAGAGTCTCTGAAAGTTCAGGTGAGTGCAGAAAACTTAGAGCAAGAGCCGAGTCCCACATAAGGTAGCAGCGCTCTGCCTCCCCTGAGGAGTAACGAATCTGACAGGAACTGCTGCTAGTTACATCTTCATCTCTTGAAGTTACACTTTAACCCAATCTTTCCCAAAAAAAACACAAAATATTTTTCAAAATAAGCCTCCCCCTTCCACGCTGGTGGAAGGATTTTTATTTTAGTTATCTCAAAATTACTAAATCAGTTGGAGGTTTGCTGCAGAACTCCTTGGATATGTTGTTCCCACTATTAATTCAAGAGACAAGAATGTGTTGGCTCTGAGATTTTAAGACATTCAGTAGAGACTGATGTCAAAAAGAGAACAGCCCTCCTTCCCAATAAAAAATTTTAAAACAGTCTAATGTACTTGGTTGTCAACGTCCCCACAGTTCTGAGGTCACTACTGCACTGAGGCATCAGCTGTCAAATAGTGGGACAAGACCTGAATTTTAATACAAGTCCCACGCTGGTTCTGCATCCTCGTTATGGATAAAGAAATAGGGAAAACGAAGAAATAAAGCAGCAGTTCACTCTCCCCTTCATCTTTTAGGCAGACACTTCTAGGGAGACTAAAAATGAGTTATCAACATCATTATTAAAAGATTACATGACAGAGCTCAAAACCAATTGCTCTTTTGTCAAATACTATCTTAACTTCAGACAAACTTATAAAACTGTCTTTGAATGTTTTTTTCTTGGTTGTTTTTTGGCATGTGATGTAGAACAGCTCAATTTTATTAAGAAAAAAAAACAAACAGAAAACCAAAAAAACCCACCAACAAAAAAATTTAATGGATTCTGCGCTCAAATAATATCATTACAACAAAAATATACAGAATGTACACAATACAAAAATATTTGGAAACGTACCATAGAGTCTTACCTTGCAAATATCATTTTGTTTTACTAGCCCTTTACGGGAAAGTATCATTTGTTCAGCATTTTAAGGCAGGAAATTACATTGTTTAGTGCTTTGTGTTTAACACTTGGACGTGTTGTTAGCATGAGTAGCATAAGCGAAAGAAAAGCTGCATAAATCTAGCTTTATTTGCAAACTAAACAGACACTGTGGGGGAGTCAGGAGACAGTCAGCGACTAACGCATCTATTAAGCTCACTGGAAATAAAGGTACTTCTACTTAAACCAGGCCTAGGGAATATTTTGTGCTCTGTGTTGCAAAGTACCCTGAAACACAAATTTTCTGTACTACTACTGGCGTTTCAGAAATACCTCATTAGAAAGCTTTTTCCAATTAAAAGGCAGTGATTAATGGTGACATTAAAAATACATTTACCTTTAAACAAGCCTGGTTTCTGTCTTACGTGCGATTCTTTCTTTATAGAGCTGCAAAAAGCACTGTTTTCCTTTATAACCAGCTG